TACGAATCCCAAAGCTTGTAAAAGGTAACTGTTCAAAAGACACGCCCCCATCATGGCCATACAGTGGGTTGCCCTTGCTGTTAATCCGCAACCTGGCGCCACGAAAATGTTGGGATCTAGTGTTGCTTTAATTCAACAGTTCAACAGACTGTTATAGGATTTGATTAGGTTTAGGGGCTGAAGCAATTAGATCTCTGGGGGCTGCGGCCACGAACACGACGTAGAAGGCCAAAGTAATTACAATCATAGAGACTCATATGGACAAATGCACGGAACTAGGGCTATGTAGAAGTTTGTGGAATATCTAAGGTGTGTAGGGCCTAAATTAGTAGAACAAGGTTTGGGTGCCCGTTTTACCAGAAGTGTATGCGCATGTGTATATGCATACGTATATGATGACCGAACAGTACTACGCGTGTTTAAGATTACGGGGTGCGCGTGTTCCACATCCGGAACAGTTTCGCAGACCTGCGGACACCGAAGCAACAAGACTTCCGAACCTCAATTAACCTTCCTCCACGTTACCCCAAACCCTGCTTAACCCTAAATCCTAAACCCCAACCCTAAACTCTCAACCCTAAACGCCAAACCTTAAACCCTAAACTCTAAACCCCAAACCCTAAACCTTTAGGATTCAGGGCTTAGGTGTTTAGGCCTTTTAACCCGTGGGAGACCAGCCTCCTCTACAACTTCTGCCGCGGACTCGGAGCTGCCAGCCACCTTCAATCGTATACCATCGAACCATCAGGGTAATAATGGAAGGTATGGGGATTGTATAGGGGTTATATAGGGATTGTAGGGTATATATTAGGGTTAGAGCGGGATAATGGAAAAGAAAATGGAAGCTATAGGGATTATATAGGGGTTACAAAGGGTATATCTTGCGGTTATAATGGGATAACGGAAAAGAAAAAATAGAAACTACTATAATATTGGGGATATATAGGTGGGTGCCTAAACAACTAGAACAAAGATGCTGATGGATGAGGGTTTTGGAAAATGTTCTACTGAATTTTACTACCGTTGTAGAAGGATGATAAAGGAATAGATAATCTTGGCCATTGTGTCAGGCTCCTACCTGAAAGCCTGTCGCGCTTCCAAGAATCACACAGAAATTACTACAGTACATTGCTACATGCAAAATAAGGTGAGCACTTGGGACATTGGAAATCATGACAGGCCTTATACCCAAGGAATTTCAACTTTTCAGATGTGCTAATTGTTGACCAGATTCCTTCACGCACCATATGGGTATTTCTCAACAGAACCCGTTTAAGATCAGACATTAGGCCCCCCGAATATTCCTACATGTCCCTAGGGGCCCTTTTTGAATAACTCTCATATGAGCCATAGTCTAAACTCCTCTAGTATCCCCCTTGATAACCACTATACTGCTCCCCCATATAATCCCCTATATAACCCCTTCTAAGGAGTTTAGACTATAGCTCGTATGTCATGGCATACTTTAGGGCCGATGTTCAATGCTTGTTTCTGTACTGAATCCAGCCCCAGGGCTCCCGTGTAGCTCGTTTCAGATTGTACACGGGGGGTTGTCAGGGTTTAGGGTTTTGGGGTTTTGGGTTTAGGGCTAGGGCTTGGGGTGTTGGGGTTTTGGGGGGACCCCAAACGAACCCTCAGGATATATCGGGATTCTAAGAGCAACATGAAGAACTTTACAAGGGATCTGTTGAGAAACTTCCGTACCATGCATGACCTCCTACGAAAGACCATAAAAACTGAACAGAATCTGTGGGAGCCTGTTATTGTTGCGCTCCGTCCTGCCAGTCTCTCTCTGTCCAAGCATTCCTCTTTGGGAGCTCTCAAAATACCCTAAAGCTTACACCCTAAAACCTGAAGGCACCTTGAATGGCAACGGTAACATCGACGCAGCCATGGATGGCAGATACTTGAACTGGATCTCGGGGACCTGTGGCCACGAAAACGATGCACGAGGTCTAGGGTTTAGGGGTTCAGTGTTTGGGGTTCAGGGTGTAGGGTTGAGGGTTTAGGGTTCCCAAGTAATTGAGATCAGAACAATGGAGGGCCAACTGGAAACTCATACGAAAGATTACATGGAACAAGGGTACTATGGAAAGGCTTTATGGAAGTCTTAAGATGTAGGGGCCACATGAGTAGAATGGAGTTTGGATGAATATTATGCGAGAATCATATGTGCACATGTATGTATAGCGTAGTGGAATCAAATGTCTGAGCTTACTGCCTTTCACAATAAACTGAACCCCCCTTTTCAGATGTCTACCTTGCTCGTGTAAAAGCTGCTTGAAGCCTCCTTCTGGGACCGAGGCCAGGCAAAGCCCTTATAAACCCGAAACCACTACCGTCTGTCCAGATTTAAGGTTCAGAGGCTGTGGATGGAGGACATCTTGCGCCACCTGAAGAAACCCCCATAACAGGAACCGCAATGCTTTGGAGCTTTGGGGATATAAATACAAAATCCCAAAATTTAAACCCCAAACCATCAACCCCAAATCCTAAACCCGAAATCTTAAACCCTAAACCATACCCCTGCACCTTAAACCGTAAACGCCTGATCCTGACCCTGCGCATTAAAACCTAGACCCTAAATCCTAGAGCAAATCCCTGTAGGGGTTTAGGGTTTAGTACAAGCAAGGGCTTCAAAAGGGAGTTTCTCAAGGGGGGATACTCAAAACCCTGCATGACCGTAGATAATTTCCAAGGTTTTTGGCACTAAGGGGCATGCTGGATTTTTAGTATCCACCATATGAGGAGAAGCAAATGGAAAAGATGATGGAAAATGAGCTGGAAACTACTAATATTCAGGGTGTTTAAGGCTTAGCCCGTAGGGTACATGGGAATTTCTCAGAAAGGGGTTCTCCCCACAAACCTTGAGAATATACAGGGAGTAGAAGGGATTGCGGTCGTCCCTACAAGGGGTGTCGCGGAATACCAGTGAGTAAGAAATAGCCAAAGATTGCCAGAAAAAAACTGAAGCACGAGCCAAGTCACCGCCCATTCCAGTTAAGGGTTTTGGATAGGCTTTTAGGGTATAGGGCCCCATACTCCTAGACATGACACATTGGCTGCCTCGTCACCAAGCACTACACACAACCTTTCGGGCCATGTTAACTTGCAGCGGATGTACAACCACGAACCCAAACCCCAGACCCCAAACCCTGAAAGCCAAATCCTAAACCCAGAAATCCTAAATATCAAACTCTGAACCCTAAACCCTAAACCCTCATCCCTACCTCCAGATTTCCTATGTATACCCTGTGCAAGGCACTGCTCGGACTCAGAATCTGCACCCTGTGACTGCGCTAGCTGCTGCTCAAGATTGTGAATTACCCATTCCAAGTGCCACGTGTACTGGCGCAAGGATTCAAGCTCATGCCACAAGTTCATCTTGGCTTGCTGCTGGCACTTGCGTCGCGCACGCCGCAAATCCCTTTTGGCTTCATTGCACGACCACATGACTTCTGAAACACTAAGCGGATTGCGCAAGCTTTGTGCAAGAAAGTCTATGCCCGCCATACCCGCTCTCTCGAGCAGTCACGGCATCACCCAGCGGATGCTTTTCGGGTTAGCAAGCATTCCGGCTACAAAATCCTGCGCAAGAAGTAGCTCTCAACACCCCCCACTTTGCGAGGGACGGGCTCACTGAGCAACGACTGTCAGAGAGATGCCACTTGCAAGTGCCATGCTATGGCAAAATCTCCACATCACGTGCTCGCACTGCTAACTTGACACCACAAGGCGCGTAGTAGCACTGACCATCTAGAGTGTCCCATAAGAAGCCATCACGCGGCTTATCGGGAGGGTTGCGGAATCGGACATACACATAGTCCACATCAGGCAAAAACCATTTGGAGTCCCAGTCGTGCTTGGCAGCATCAATGATCAAGCCTTCCCAACCTTTGTCGACAAAATACCAGTTGTGGTAGTCAAACCATCCACTGACATCCCTGGTCACTCGTACACGGGTGCCTGCCACAAGCTGTGTATGTGGCGCTGGCTGAACCTCTTCAATAGAAGGAACGCCCCCCACGTCCTGCACCTGCTCTGGCACGGGCGTCTCCATGCTGCATGCTCCCGGCTTCTGGTCAGCTGACACAGTATTTGGCTCCGCTTCATCCTCGTCCGATAGGGCAGTCGCGCTTAACAAGTCCTCCTGGCTTTTTTCTTTTGCCCGCACCGGAGATCCCACGATCTCTTCCTCTTCGTCAATGGCGTCCTCACTGCTCCTGTCAACGTGCTCAAGCCGGAGGCCAAGGCTCTTGCAAGGGACTGCTCGGACTCAGAATCTGCACCCTGTGACTGCGCTAGCTGCTGCTCAAGATTGTGAATTACCCATTCCAAGTGCCACGTGTACTGGCGCAAGGATTCAAGCTCATGCCACAAGTTCATCTTGGCTTGCTGCTGGCACTTGCGTCGCGCACGCCGCAAATCCCTTTTGGCTTCATTGCACGACCACATGACTTCGGAAACACTAAGCGGATTGCGCAAGCTTTGTGCAAGAAAGTCTATGCCTGCCATACCCGCTCTCTCGAGCAGTCACGGCATCACCCAGCGGATGCTTTTCGGGCTAGCAAGCATTCCAGCTACAAAATCCTGCGCAAGAAGTAGCTCTCAACATACCCTAAATACCCCTACATATCCCTTGAAAGGGACTTCAAGAAAGAAGCTCTGACTCCAATTCCTAAATCCAAAACCCAAACCCTGAGCCCCAGACCTTAGACCCTAAAGCCCAGTACCAAACCAGAGCCGTCACTTGGAAGTCAGGGAGACTTTGGAAAGGTTTAGGGCTTTTGGGTTTAGGATTTCGGGCATATTGTTTAGGATTTAGGGTATAGGGTTTAGGATTTAGGGTTTAGGACTTAGATTTAGGGCTTAGGACTTAGGATTCAGGGTTTAGGATTGAGGGTTCAGGGATCCCCAGAGGTGAGCCGCCTCATGAAGTTCCGTTCCCCCCAGCCTCAAGTAGACCCCAGACCCGAAACCCCAAACCCTAAACGCTTCGCCTCCACCTTAGCCGGGATCTTCGGCTCATCAACCTCTGGTTTTCAAGTTGTAGGATTGGTTATGTGGGTGGTTGTCAAAATTATGGTCCCTTTTTGGGTGCCCTAAATATTAGGGGCCGTATTATAATAGGGACCCAAAAAGGGACCATAATTTTGACAACCACCCATATATGGTTCATAGGATTGCTTAAGGTTTAGGGTACTTATAGGCTTGTGTAGAGTGTACATGGGATTGTACAAGTTTACAGCTTTAGGTTTTTTCGGGTTTAGGGCTTCAGTACAACCCCCTAGTCGATTTAGCGCTGGGTATTCGGGGACGATCTTGGAACCTTTGGAAAGTTAGGATGCATCTTGGGCTATATTGGGCTCACATGGGCGAACAACTTCAGGGAACACTGGATGTCTTGAGATCTAGTGTGAAGGCCAGCGCAGTGGGGTTGCGGATGCATTTTAAGATTAAGGTCTGAGGGCTTAGAGGTTGCACAGGATTTGGTCTTTTGGGCGGGTTTGATGAGGACCCCTCAGACGACAAGACCCGCTATCCTTTTTTAAACCCTAAACCACAAAGCCTTGACCCTCAAAGCTCTCAAGTTCCCATCACTTCGCTTGAAGCCTTTGGGCCCCTCAATCCTCCCCCTTGCACAGGTCCCTGCGCAAGGTCTGCAATTGTGGGTAAAGGATTCTGGGTTTGGGCTTCACTTCGCATGAAATAGGGGTTCTCACTACCTTAGACCTCTTGGGCGTGCCCTTCTATTCCAGCCCTACCCCCTGCCTCTCCCCGTTCGCAAGGGCAAAAATCTTCTGTGCATGGGGGAAATCTTGCACCACAGGGGTCTAGGGTTTACGTTTTACCGGCCCTATACCCCAATAGTTACAGCAGTGGGGGGATCCAAAGTCCTAAACCCTAACTCACATTCACCGTAGGAAGAGGCCTTCGTTAGGGAGGCAAGGTTCAGGACTGCTTAGGACAGGTACATACCTGTCCTAGACCCTTATGCACTAGCTTTTTTGAAGTACTAAATTTGTAAATAGAAGCGACTAGACGTCAAGTCATGTACCATAGGGTAGCAGGGTCCGGGTACATATGGGGACTTCGCAGACTTGGCATTATGTAAGACCACAAGCACCTGAAAATCCCAACCTCAAGATTGCGCACAACTCCTTCGTCACGTAGTCGGGAAGTTTTCTCATGATCCCATCTGGGTCTGAAGCCAGAACCTATCCTCAAGCCAAGGGTTCAGGGTTTAGAGTAACAATTTCATGGTGCAACATGCATATGTGTTTACGATCTGCCACTGCTGACATAGCTCTGTGCCATTATCCCAATATGACCACTATGTAAGCCTAGTGGTCCAAGGAGTTCATAACCTTGGACTCTTGGTCTCTCTCAACCCAGGCATAACACTCTTGGGAAAGTGGCCTAGGTCAAAAATTAGTTCTACTTGAAACTACCAAGAGCTTCTCACTAGCCTGGAGTTCCAATACATGGAACAGTTTCCCTAACATTCACAGACTCCTCAGAATCCAATCCTCAAAGCCTACACTCTAAACATCTACGCAATACACTAAACCCTAGACATTAAACCCTAAAGCCAAAACCCTAGGCCTGCTACCACCCCAAACCTGAACCCCAGCCAATTTACCCTTGAAAGCCTCGTGCGCAGGGATCACCAGCTTCTTGTGACTGGGCTTAACCGAGATGACTTGCTCTCGGGCACGCCTGAGTTTCTTCAACAAGGGTGGACTCAGTTTATAGCCCCCCCTGAGTAGATAGCATATGGGGTATATGAGGATCTTGTTGTAATATAACCAAAGCTACATTCTATTTACTTAAGGGGCACTGTTGAGTGCTAGGGGCTTTAGGGTTAGCTCGGCTTTAACCAAGGGTTTGGTCTTGGCAGGTTGAAGACATGGGGGCTTCAACAAAAAAGGGGTGCCACTTAGCGGACCCCGGAAATAAGTCGTAAATGGTAGCTACTGACGTGCATCGTCTGAAACATATCAAGTCCCTGAATCGGAGACTCGCCGTATAATGCTATGGCCCTGGCTTACCAAGAAATGCAACGTTGCATGATCTTGCAGGTAAACCCTAACCCCTAAACCCTAAAACCCGAAAACCCTAAATCCTAAACCCTGGACCTGGGGTGCATGTAAGTGGCTCAATTGGTCTCAAGTGTCCTAGCCCTGGCTCTGACTGCATAAAGCTACTATAATAGAATAGGGTATAATGTGGAGAATCGAATGGAAAAGAAAATGGAAAATGAAATGGAAACTAGGGAATATAGTACCGTTCCTAAGGAGATTCCATCACCTCCTGTAATCAGCACGCTCTAAGCCCTGAACCTGGGAACACCCCAGACGACAAATCCCCGCAATGCCTATAGTCCCCCTTAAGTAGATGGAATATGGGGGATCTTATTAGAATATACCCAAAGCCATATTCTATCTGCTTAAGGGGGTTGAAGTCCCTAAACCATGACTAAGTGCTTCCTAGTAGTATTGGGCTTATATTTGAATATTGTAGGGTTACATAGGGGTTATCTTGGGATAATGAAAAAGAAAATGGAACCTAATATTTAGGGTTTAGGGCTTAGGGTTTAGGGCTTTGGGGAGTACCCCATTAGCTCCCTGAAGTCGCCCCTCTACCCTTCCCAAGAATATGATCCTTTGAATCTGTCACTTCATGCCCTGCTACAAAACCGCAGGTTTAGGGTTTAGGGTTTAGGGTTTAGAGTTTAGGGTTTAGGGTTTAGGGTATACACCCCAAAGCGGCATCCAAGGCCCAAAGCCTGCAAACCCCAAATCCCAATCCTTCAATCCCGAAATCAACAATGACAATAAAGCTGTCGATTTCTGGTTGTTTGACAACTCAGGCATACCTGGAGTTAGACGGGAATCTTCAATATGGGCTGAGGCATTTACTTCCATCACGGAGTGTTGCGGTCTGGACCCTGGGTATTTTACTGGACCCTGAACCCCACAATCCGAAACTCTAATCCCTGGATCCTAATCCTACACCCCAAAACCCTCAGCACCAAACCCAACACCCCAATCCCTAAACCTTAGACCCTACCTCTTCGACTCTACATCCTGAAGTCTTTGCTCTCCTCAATCCAGCCCAAGGAGCACGGCAGGGTCGTAATAGGAGCGCCTGATCATCGGCTTGGGCGAGATCTCTTGCCCGGAGGAGACCAAAGTTGTTGAGACATCGTCTCCTAGTCGGATATTGTGGGGTGTAAGGGTTAAGGGTTTAGGGTTCAGGGCTTAGGGTTTAGGGTTTAGGGTTCAGGGCTTAGGGTTCAGGGTTTAGAAGTCTAGGGCTTTTGGGGTTAAGGTTAAGCTCTTCGAAGCTTTGAGTCATGGGCTTTGTTAGGACGGCGTGTGATGAACACCCGCTCGCTGCCGTAGATTGATATAAAAGGTTTCTTTCCGGGTAGGACGCTTAGAGCCATTGCAACAAAAAAACATTGTCACGGCAATGCTGGGTCTTCAGGTCCGCGGATGTCGAAAAAGGAGCTTAAGAAGTGCTCGCTTGTAGCTTCCTCACGCAGGTACCTCTTGGGGGTTCCCCTTGATAAGGATTATAATCCGTTGGGGTTGATATTGTGGTCCCCCCCCCCTATTTGAGGAAACTACATATCTGTGAGAACCTCCTTGTCACACCAACATACACAGCCGAGAAGGTTGATTTAGAGGTGAGCATGTGGAAGCCACATGAGGGTCTTATATAGGGGTTATGTAGGGATAATGGAAAAGAAAATGGAAACGACTATATGATTAAAGGGCTTAGGGATTTACATCACATCCATCAAAAAAATCCAATATGGGTGGTTGTCAAAATTATGGTCCCTTTTTGGGTACCCTTAATATTAGGGGACCATAATTTTGACAACCACCCATATGAAGCCAGGACCTGGTCATTGGCTTTTGCGTTTAGACTTTGTAAAGTCAAGGTCTAGGCTGCGAAGATTGAGATTTGGGGGGTTCCCAAAATCAGGAGTACCTTCTAAGGGTTTTATACAAGGGTTTATATAGGGATATATAGGGTTTAGGGTTTAGGGATTAGGGCTTTGGGTTTCCCAAATTAGGGGTACCCTTCTGGGGGTCCCCATACTAAGGACTAT